CATTGAAGAAAAGCGAGGCGTATCTTCAGGATGTCTTCCCCAAAGCTCTGTTGGAAAAGCAACAAGGTACAATCCACATTTATGTGCAACTCTCGTGACAGGCAAACTCGCTGCATTGCCAGCGTTGCATTGATGAGAGGCACTGTACCAGCTCCAAATGTCCAAATTTCCCGCACGCGGACGCACGAATTCGTCCATGTCTTGGGACGTTTGCAATGTTGATCGTGGCTCACGTGAGAAATGCGTGGCGATGGGCAAAAACGTTCCACCTGAAGTCCTTTTCAGCTGACTCAGCTTCGGGACGAGCCAGAGAAGGAGCTTCGCGAAAACCACGGGACAGGATTTGTGCGCCATGCATGATTGCAACTGCTGAGAGACGAGTCCATTGATAGGAATTGTCCATGTTTGGGATGTGTGTGCATAACCGAATATATTGAAATCCCAATGTTTGCTGTGTGCGTGTGTTGGTGTGTGTGAATGTGTGCTTGAGCAGGATATCTATGTGTCTTATTTTATGTGCCTAAATGATGCTGATTTTGAGCTGATTTGTCGGGTCATCGCTGAGTTTGCCGGATAGCTGGAATTGGAACAATGGGCAGGCTAGCAACACAATCTTCAAAGCTGGATCGCGCAATTTAGAGGTGTTGAAAGCAACTGGCTCATGGAGTTTAGTGGTAAGAGTTGAGCACCACACAGTCCGCTTGTTTTTTTTTTTTGTTTACCAAGAGTTCAAGATCACAATGATGAGTTGGCGCATGAGAATCCATTGCAAAGACAGGAGCAAGGCGTTGCAGAGATTTGGGCTTGGAGCATAGGAGCAGAAAGCAGGCCTGCATATGTTGACTGCACGTCGCCTTACCTTGGAATTTGCTCAGGATCCTGATGCTCAATTCTTTGCTTTCCCCATAGGGGAAACCCCTAATCCATTAAAAATGTGATCCTGAGTCTTCTTCCCGCAACTTGGACTTTTCCCTACCCGTTCGGCGGCTTCTTTTGACGGAGGTACATGCCTCCCTCGACGCTCCGGACTCGTTCTGCCTCGCGCTCGCCCCGGAGTCCTGCAGAATCGCCTTGCGATGTTCTAGGGGTGCCTTCCATTCTTTCCAGGGATCCGTTTTTCTAAAGAACCTTCCCCAGGGAAAACGGGTTTTTGAAAAGAACGATTGTTGAAAAGAACGGGGAATCAAAGCTAGCGATTCAAGACGCATCCGGCCTGGTCAGAGACTCTGCAAGTTTGGTTCACACTGACATACGACTTGAGCCTATGGATAGCCCCCGTGCAGCTGTCAGGTGTGCGAATGGCCATCGACCAGAAGATGGCAATCACTTTGAGATGAGGATTGGGCGTGCAGAAAGTCGGCGGTGCCTTTTTGTGTTACCCGAACACCCAGGGGTTGACGGTCTTACACTTTTTGGGTTTAATACCTCAAAAGTGTCTGGTGATTGGTGGACATTCATCCCAATGTTCTGCCCATAGTCTGCCTTGGTAATCGACGAGATGGACCGTGAGGCCTGATCCGCAGACGCGGGAGGCTTACTTTGGCCTTCAGAGCCTGCCAGATTGAAGGGCCAAGAGAACGTGGCGGGTTCCGAGCTCGAGCATGGTCGAGCATGGGTTTGTGGTCTCCTTTTGGCAGGTACCCTTTGTGGGGTTGCTTTACAGGGGGGGAACCATGGGACAAATCCGGACAAATCCATCATTCATGGGGTCCTCTATTTGAAGACACCTCCCCATGTCTTGCTTAGTCACCATTAAGGTCTCAGAGATGGTGAGCAGAATCGTTTTGTCATGTTCAAAGCAGTGGCTTACCCTGAGCGACTGGAATCAGTTTCAAACGCGGTGGCTAAAGGCCCAAGTCCCATTGGGAAACCAAATTGAGACGGTCACCAACCCTTTGACTGCAGACTGTGGACCAGCAGGATCGCTAGAACGAGACGCCAAAAGCTAGCACACACACAAGTGCAGAGCATTTAGCGAATGTCTGCAATTTTGGTTTGAATGGTGTGGGTTCCACGTTAGTTTGGTGGTGTGCATGTAAGTCCTTGAGATTCAACATGTATTGGGCGACCGTAAATGGGTTCCGTCAAGTATGTTCTTTTCGGATGCTACACACACGATTGTCCATTGGAACAAGCTGCTTGAAAACAACCTATTCAAATGACTGCAAAGCAGGGGCCTCACAAAATGTACCACAAAGTCCCATAGAAAAGTCAATGTCTTTGAGGGGTAGCCAATTTTGACCGTAGCTCATGTGAGTCCTTGGGCGGGCCACTCTATCTGGAATCCGCACCCACATTGTGGTTCTTGATTTGCGGGTTGGTTTCCTCGTGCTTCCTTTGAATGCCAACCGAAACGCCTTCCACCATTTGGGAAACTCCCATCTGAAGTATTGCCAAACCAAAAGGGGCCCAACTGCCTTTTTTTGCACTAGGGTCTAGTCTGTGTGCTTTTTGGTCCCCCCCCCCCCAAAAAAAACTTCGCTTCGAGCAATCCCACCCTCCACACTCACGAGCTTACGACCGTGAACACGGTTGTGTGAATTCAAGCATGGTTTTCGAGTGGCTTGGGGCCTATGACTGCTCAACAAGCTTTGCATTGAGAGCCTTATCCACCTGTCTGTGTGTCAAACTCCACTTGTTTGCGAGCCGATCTCGAGAACTCTAACATCGGTTCCGTTAACAAAAGCCAAGCCCCTTCCAAACAGAAACCCGACGGGGGATTAAGCGAAGTTGCTTATTCACAGCCCAAAGCAACACACAAGCATCACCCTTTCCGAGCCTCAGGGTACACTCAAAACACGAAGGCACCAACAAGAAATGTAAACCCAACTGTGCGCCGGGCAGGACATTAAGCAAAACCAGACTGGCGAGCTGCTCTGGCGGGATATTGGCGGGATCCACTGGCGAATACTGGCGAGCCGCTCCGGCTCGATACTGGCCGGATACTTGGCAAGATCCACCGGCAAGGGATACTCAGTGAATTTACTCAGCGGGATACTTGGCGGGATCCACTCGCGAGCTGCTCTGCGATACTCGGCGGGATACTCGGCGGGATCCACTGGCAGGCTGCTCTGCTGGGGGAGACTGGGTGGGGGCGTGGCGTAGAGGCATCGCAAACGTGGAATCCAACATAAAATCTAACAACCCCTTCGCCAAAGAAAAGGCTCTTCATCCCCCCCCCACCCCTCCCATTTTCGGTCCAAACATATACAACACATACGCTCCTTGGTGACCCGGCGTGCCACGCGCCCGCCCGAGAAGCCCCGAGGTACGACCCCTCTGTGGAGGCCAAGGCCTCCGCGCCGAAGTTCGGCGCGGCGCGGCGCTGGAGCTCCCAGCCACAGATCTCGCACCTGGGGCCAGGCGGGGAGCGGAAGCGGCGGGTCTGGGGCAGAGGGGGGGTGGTTGGGGGGGAAGAATCCGATTCATTTTCGTCGGATCAAGAACGGTGCCATATGGGTCACCGACCTCAAATCGCGAACCGGGAAGCCGCCACGAATTGTGGATTCGGATTAGAGACCCCCCCAGTTTCCTCCAGCTTGAACAACCCAGAGAAAAGATGCATGTTGGCCTGCCATGTAGAACTCATACGGCCGATGATTTGGAGGATGCCAGTGTGAATCAGCAGGTTTGTTGTTGAGAAACCCAGGAAAAGGGAGTACTTTGAGCAAACTCAATTCGGAGTTATACGATTTGTGGGCTCAAGGGGACTTAGTCCAAAATTCACAAATCGAGGAACCCCCTGGGCAAAAATTGAAATGGGCATCGGTTCTACTTTAGGTTTGGTTTAGACAAACAAGCAAAAGGGAGGCTGATTTCTCCTCATAGGTGCCGCCAAATTTGGGTGACACATGAGCAGCGCCAAAAGTCCTCATGAAAAAGGTCGCTTCAGGTGCGCTGAGAGGGCCTCACGAAAAAGTTGATTCTTTAAAAAGTGCGTGCGAAAGTCAGAAACGTGTGGCCGGGAAAGCACCGTGCAAGGTTCCGCGCAAGTGGTTTGCGAGCAGATTTTATGCACCAAGTTTTCGGCCCTCGCATGGAGACCTTGTCCGGGATTGAAAAGGAAAACATGCAGAGACCGGTGCCACCTGAAAGGGTTCCTCCGTCGAGAAGCGCGAAGGGAACACTGGAGAACATGTGGCAACATGCTCGTAAAAAGAAGGCCCGTGTCGATGGCGCGAATACGAGCGGTGTTCGAAGACCACATCCCGTGCAGGAAATGACAGCTGTTCACATCGCTCCGAATGGGGCCATGTCGCCAAAGAATTTTCGGCCGGCTGCAAACGCATTGCCCTGGCAAGACATTAGGACCTACGCACCCTGCAGAGCAACCCAAATCTGCCAGGCAGCTACAGCGCAGCTCTGGAGATGCCGGTGAAGGGCGTGGTGAAGATGAGCTCCACCCGCAGGCCAGACAAATGGCCGCTTGCTTAGCGAGCGGGTTAATGAAGTGGGGCTGTCTCAAGACTCTGAAGAAGATGTGTTGTTTCCCTTGGTGGTTTTAAAGGAATCGATCACGGGCTTAAGGAAATGGAAGGAGTGAAGGAACTCAAAGTGGCTCTATTCGTTCCAGAGGAATTGTGGCTAACCACTTGGCGAAGTCTCGGACCATTTAGTGCATTTGTTTGGGGGGTCTCATGTTTGTTTGTTTGTTTGGAGGATGACTCCCCAACCACCGTTTAGAAGAGGACGTGATGCTTTGGGTCTTCCAGATCATTCTGGGCGGAGAGTCCGGAACGGGTCCCATCTCGTGCGGCACACTTAGCTCTTGTGTGCATTCAGTTCTAAGTGTTTTCCTGCATAATATGGTGCATAAGGTATATGGCGTTTCTTTGTTTGCTTTTGTGTGTACAATGCATATGTGGAGTGCACATGGCGATTTGGCTTTGTGGTGTTCGTTTGGTGTCAGCCCGTCCGCTCTTGAGTCGGACTCGTTTCGGGGATGCAGGTTCGCGGCGAAGGGCGAGGATTGGGAGCCTGGCCCAGGAGTCCGGATCTGAGAAACCGGGACTTGAAGCACGGGTCCCGTTTTGCCCGGCGTGATAGAATTTCGGAGCTGGCTCCAAAGATGGAAAACCATAGGCATTGTCCGGCATTGTCAGGCATTTTCAGGCATTATGAGGCATTATGAAACATCATGAGGCATTTACGACATCCCAACAGTCTCGCGGCATCAACGAGCACCCTACGAGTCCGATTCAAGGCTTACGACCTCGAACCTCCTCCTCAGCTTCGCACCAGACCAACCTTCTCCCGAGCGCCGAGCGCCAAGCGCGGCGATGTGACGTGCTCATGTTTCGACCCATGGCCCTTCTATCTTTCGAAAGGATGTCAGCAGAAAAAGGGGCCAGAGAACATAAACATGGTGCACTGATGCGTGTCGTTCCGAGTCGCTCGGCCATTTCACCAATGCAGGCCCCATTTCTGGAGAGCGGGGTGAATGAGCCAAACCACGGGACGGGGTGTGCCTTTCTCTCAAAAGCCGAGTCTTGCCCCGAAAGCATGTCGGACTTAGGCCGCGGGAGCGGCAAAAGGAGCTCAGCGGCATCGGCGGAGAGCGCCGAAACCTCACGAGCTCAGCAAACGAGTTCACCTCCTGGGTTCTTGGACTTGAAACCTTTTTGGGGTAGACCATTTGAGCGGTAAGACAGAGAACAACTTTGGGAGCCTTTTTTTTCTGACCCATCCACTCATGAGGCAAAGGATCAGGAAGTGTTTCACTTGAAAGACTTGTTTTTTTCTGACCAATCCACTCAGGAAGTGCTTGTTGGTGGATGAGGCAGTGATTCACTGGAGGTCGTGCCAAGATCATCCGCAGCTTCTTCCGCGCCAGTTCCGGGCCGACCGCTCAGTGGGGCTGGACCCCACGCGCGAGCTCCATGGGCTGTTTTTCCGGGGAGGGCCCAGGCCACCTGGACCCATTCCAGGTCCCCCAGCGATTGGTGCCAACTTTTGCCGTTCCCTTTTTTGGTTGGGAGGGTTCCTCTACTAAAATATAGACTACAGAAAACAGTTGGTACCCTTATTCTATCCTCTCTACTGGAGGACCTAGCATTGGATTCATCTTTTGCCGCCTTTTACGGCCCAACTTTTTTCTCGGCTCCGCCGGAAGGGAAGAAAAAACGGGGGTGGCGGTGAAAAAGGCAAAACCGGGGGCCGTGTTCTCAAAATGAGGGGGTCTCCTTTGGTGAGTTTCCTCTTGGTTTCAAAATGAGGGGTTCTGCGAAATCCCATGGTTTGTCTTGTTTCAAGGGGGCCTTAAGTTGGTTTGGGAAACCAAAGGAAAAATGACAATCATGTTATGGGTTCCAGCCACCCAACAGCAATGGGTGGTTTGGTTCCAGTGGGTGGTTTGGGCACGCATGACCAGTATTCTCGAGTTTCCCCAAAAGACGAGCCATACATGTTTGCGGTACAGCCTGAGTCGACCAAATTAGTCACAATCAAAACCCGGGTAATTGGAGGGTAAGGGACCATCTCGCGGCCTCCTTGTCAATTCTTGAAGCATGGTTCTGGGTAGACCATTTTAATACTGGGCTTGATTATGACCCAGAAGGGTTTGAGTTCCGGTACCTTTCTTTTGGGTTGGCTACCAAAACGGAAGCAAACACGTCTTCGGGGTTCCGCTCGCAGCAAAAAGCCGACCTCAGGCCGCAGAATTCCTTGCGGCGCGGCCCGCGGTTGCCGCCGCAACGTGTGCCACGGAAAGCGCGAGGCTCGGGGCCCCCAGCGTCGCAGGCCGAGTCCGAGATGGCTTGGCTCCTACCTGGGTGTCACTTGTTAGGGGGTCCACAAAAAAGAGGGTATGGGTCAAAATTTGTCCACCAGCAGGTGTTAGTCCTTGGTTCCATTTGCCAGGGTTGGGTTCCCAATTGTTGACCCACAGCCAAGTGGTGGCATTTCTGTGGTTCCTTTGTAAGAACACCCCCAAACAAGTCCCCTCCAAAAAGGACACGCCCACAGGGCTTCGCAGAACTTGATGGCAACTTTGGATTGATGTGGAGGACCATACTAATCAGGGTTGGTTGCCATTTAGTTAGGAAGTTATGTCTATTAAGGGGGTTCTTCCGATTGGGATTCAGCAGATTCCGACGTTGAGACGGCTTATGCTACCAGCTGGTTTGACTTTGTTTCTTTGTTTGCAGATGAGAACAAAGAGGATGTCAAGTCTCCGGCACCCATGGGTGGTGGCTATCCTTCGCTCCAGGACGTGGCTTTGCGATCGCCGTGAGAGCCGGAGAACCAGAGTTGCAAATATCCTGTTTTCATCGGACCGAGGTGAGAAAGAACCTGGTCCAGGACACTTGCCTATTGAGGTTCGACATGTCGCATGGCATGGGGCGTCCTTGGAACTCGGGCCCTAGGCTTATGGTCAACGCATGGAGAAAAGTGCGAAGTTGTCTAGTGGAAACCATCATTTGGTGAACAAGCCTTGCTAAACATGACACTTGCCACTGCGCTTCCCGCGAGGATCATTTGACGTGACGGCGCCAGGTGCCGCCCTTTAGAGGGAGGCTTTCGGTGACCGGGTGAAGGTGTTTCGAGGGGCACCGTTACTTTGGAAGGCGGGATTTTGTTTAAAGAACAACTTTAAGGATCCCACTTGAATGGACACCGCATAGTCTAATAGGGGTGTTAAAGGCTTTCCAAACTGGTTTCTTGACTTGCTGTTTGAGCTACTGGGGCCATGTCGACCAGTTAAGCAAGCATGTGCCGAATGAATCAGAACCCTCGAACTGCACGGGCCCGACAGGGCTGCATTTTGATCACTGCCTCAGGTGTGCTTTCATTTCACCTTACCCTTGGTTGGTAGTTTGGTTTGGATTGGTTTGGGGATTTGAAACACCCTCAGCCACCCCTCCAATCCAAACCCCTCCAGTCCAAAGCACCCATTAGTCTAGGGGTTGATTCCCCATTCTTTTCGACCATCGCTCTTTCCAAAACCAGCTGTTTCCCCAGGGTTTTGGGTGGTTGTGTAGAACATACCCCTAGAAATAGAGGAAAGCTGACCATCTGTCTTGCTTCAATGCCCGAGTGGCAAGCGGCTCAAATTCCTCGAGAAGCAAAAATCGGATCTGCCAGCGTCATGGCGGAAGCTGAGCCTCAGTCTCTTTGGGAAGAGCACCTGCAGAACTTGACGGAGCTCAAGGAGTTTGTGAATAAACATCCGAAGCAGTTCGAGAAGTTCATCGAGAGCAGGCGGGATGTGTGGAAAGACCCCATGCAGTGGTCTTCCTTTGATTTCCCCATAAACCTACCGAACATGTTAAGCAAAAACGAAAACACGCCTGCATGAGGGTTCAGAGACCATCCTCGACACTTGAGCAGGGCTATATGTTGACTCTCATTGTTCTTGATCTTCAACCAAGTGACAAGTAGCAGAGGCCTCACCCAATGTTCTCAATGTTTCAGCACCTCTGTTCCCAGCCTCCCAACATGTACCAAGAAGACTAAGACGTGAGGAAAACTATAAGACCAATTTGCAGGAGACTGCAGGGGCTGACTTGTCAGCTTGCCGACTTCAGACGTGCTGTGAGTGGCAACTGGCGACAGATTGTGTCGCTATAGTATGTTTCCCCTTTTCACGCCTGCCCTTTGGCGGCCAGGGTTTATATTTCCCAAGATTTCCACTTTCCGGGCCCACCTCCAGAGTTCTTTGCGCTTACCATAGCGCAACGGCTTCACGGAATGTGGGTTGATGCCCCAAGCCGGTTCTTTTGTGGCATTTTGTTCCTGACCGCTGACCCTGTCAGCATGGCCGGAGTCGCACTCAAAACCCGAAAAATACAAAGGTGCGGCCTGTCGATTACTTTACATGATGTTGGGTGGACCACTTTAGTTAACGACCCGATTTTCAGTGTGACTCACCAGAGGGCGCCTTGGCTTGTTTGTCTTTGACCAGCCAAGAGATTAGCCGAGCGAACTACTTCAGCTGTCGACGCTAGGGGACATGGAGAGCACTAGAAAATTCCGCACCAAGATCCCATAGGCACAATGAGTATTCGCCGTGGCTCATCATGTCCAGTCCCTCGCGCAGCGAAGAGTCTTTTGCCGTCCCCCGTCCCCGCTTGGCCAAACCGCATGAGATTGGAGAAAGGCTGGAAACAGGTTTCCTCGCATGTCCGTGAAATCCAACGTCTGTGTTTTGATACATCGCCAACAAATGGTCAGATAAGTTAGCTAGAGCCATAGCCCGACATGACAGCATTCTGGTTTGACATGTCTTTGGTGCCATTTGAAAGCACGGCAACGCTTAGAGAAGCAGCGATAGGAGGCATGCGCTTGTGCGTGAGTATATGGGTGTCTCAAAATAAGGGGCCTGAAAGGCTTTTTGGATGCTGTTTGGAAGCCAGAATACACCATCAACCAGTCCCCAGTTTGGAGAAGCACCCATTTGCATGTATGATTTTTGGTGTCGGCTCGCTTCGCCTACGAGAAACCAGACGCCGCTCTATTGGCGTCGCACCTGAAGCTGTGTGTTAAGTCTCAAGTTGCATCGGGTGTGGCTCCTGTTTTGGGGCGACCCCTCAAACTAAGGGGGGTCCTTCTGGTTTTCTTGCAAATCGGGTCCCCTCAAAAACGATACACCCAAAGGAGCAACGCACAATGCTAGTTGTAGTCTACGGATGATATGGGGAGGCGCTTTGGGGGGGGGGTACCCAGTTTCCTTTGGTTCCTTACAAACCCAGGGACCTACCATTAAATGAACCATTGGAAGTAATACGGTGGATGGACGAAATCATGCACCACTTCGAACTATGGGAAACCAGTGTTCGTTGGTATTGGGGAATCATCATTCCAGGCTTTCTTAGATAAGTCTCCGGAACCCAGCTAAAAGGCTTCAAGCACCAGTTCACGCAAGGCTTCAGCATGAATTTCAGATGTGCGACGCAAGGCTTGGTGCGAGCCCGTAGCCACTTTTGCCGCGCGTGGTGATCTGATGCATTCCAAACATATGCCGAACAAAATGCGCAGGTGATTCATGAGCTCAAAGCGAGTC